TTTTATCAAATTTATTCATTTAAAATTCACTTTTTATCATTCTAATCTATAATTTACTGATTATTTTAAATTTATAAAAATTAACCCAACTCTTGAAATACTTGTAATAATGCCTATAAATTCACAAACTGAACCTTCGATTTTCAAATTGATATATTTAAATAATCGTTACGTCTGCAATCTAGAATAATGTCATTAAATTATTTTTTAAAACTTTGCTCCTTGCTTTTTGAATCTTTGATAACTTGAAATTATAATCTTAGATGTTATGATTAATGTAGGGTGGTAGGTACAATCTTGAGATCCTAAATTCCGTTCTTTTCTCAAATACTAGACACAAATTTATCTGACATACATAGGAATGGATTATATGCAGATATTATAAATTGTTGAAGATCATAAATTGGAGGTTTTAGGGCTGTATTTTAAAGAACAGTTTTAGCGCTGAAGGGTTCTATTAGGCAAAGAGTTATAATGATTTTTGTAGAGTTTTTAATTATAAAAGTATATAAATACTTTATTCGCTGATATTCATCATATATCCCGCTGTTGCTCAGACAATTATATTTGCAGGGTGGGATGAAGGTGTCTTGGACATGCAAGTAGAAGAATTAGCTTTGTTAAAGGTAAAGACTTAGAGCCCTACACTGAAATCGGCTAAATCGACTTATTCTGCTGAAGTTTATGAAGTTCTGGTTGAAATGACTGTATTGGCAGATTCTGCTGATTTATGAATAAATTATATTTAAAACATACTCCGTATTTTATTAATAAAATATAGAAAAAATTATACGAAAAATAGCTCAAATGGTATCTAAAGTAACTTCAGTCAATATTGCCAGAAAAGTAACTCCAACCTTTCTTTTTCTTATTATTACACAACTCAGTGTACGAATTCAAAAGTTACGTGTTTGGTTAAAAAGTTGGCAAAATAGAGTCACCAAATGGCCTCTTAGTTAACTTTGTCCTGACCTTCTTAGTCGATTGAATAAATAGGGTTTTCATAAAATAGTATTGAAATAAAACGTATGGACAAAAGTGACTAAAGTTATTATGAGTATTCTCGATGGTCACATCGGTGTAAAACTGAACACAATGCTAGTCACTATAAGTTATCGTAATGGTCACGTTTTTGTATACTATCTTCATTTTAATCATATATTCCTTGGATAAATGACGATTTTTGGTTTACTGCATTTGAGACCTCACCTGGATTCAATTTTGCTGATATAATATGCAGTGCACTCCCGACTATGCCTATGGTGCTGGTGGATTTCCAGCTTGGGGTATACAGCCCAATTCGCATCTCAACTTTGAGATTGAAGTCCTGCGCGTTGAATAATCTTAACATTTGAAAATCTGATCACCTTCTTCACTCTTTACTCTCTATTATCATGTACAATACAATCCGACTGCCACCTTTTCTTCATGCTTTACAATAAATTACCATTGTTAAGACAGAAAATTCCTGCATAAAAGGGAGTTTATCAATTATCTCATACACGTGTTTACTTGTGTTTGGTATAATTCATAATTAAGCCATGTTGCGGTTATGATTAATGGATGAATATTGTATATCATATGTTGGTTGGTTGGTTAGGCATGCTTTGTAACTGGAAATGGGGATTAATCATACTTGTTACTGTTGTTGCAGCACGACTGCACGAGTGGTCGAAGGTTTGCAAGTTGGTGGTACTTATTTTCAAGGTTTCTTTAATGACCCCATTAGTGAAAATGACTTGTAGAGTTGGGCATTATTTACTAATGTCCACGGGTGAGCATTCCGGATCCGGTTTGGGTTTTCGGGTTTTCATGTGTTTGCTGCTAAAAAAGAGTGGTGGAAATGATTACTGAACGGAAACCAATTTTAGGCTCTGTTTGGTAGCATTAAGTGGTTCATTACGGATAGTACTTGGTTGGAATGGTACAACCGTACAAGTACCTGTGAGACTTGCTCATTTGGCTGAAATAAGTTTGATCCGATAATTCACCCAAACAATCTTACCAATACGTTTGGGTTCGGTTGTGATCTTGGTATATCAATCTGGTTCTGAGTTCAGTTCATTCTGGAATTGCTAACCAACTCGGTTTCCTACAAAATCAAATCAAAAAATCTAAAAATGGTTTCGGTTCGGAATCGAGATTATGTTCGACCATAATATTGGTTCATTGGGAATTTTTTTACTTGGATTCTTTTACAACCCAAATCAGACTAGACTTGAATATTTATAAAATACACAAAGACATACACAAATATCAGACATTTCTCAGAAAAGTTCGAACCGTATCAAATCAGATAAGGCAAGACAGACTAGAACATAAAATTTCAGTCCAAGTAAAAACATTCTGGATTGTCTAGGTGCGATTTAGTTTTCTTTCAAGTTGTGATTTTTTTGAGCATTTTGGTTTGGTTTTGATTTGATCAACATTAAATTCAATAATGTATCCTCTATTTGGTTTGACATTGCTAGTGGTTTTCACTTTAAAATTTTTTACACTCTCTGTTTAAAGTAACATAAGGGTTTGGGATTGATTCTGCTTCGGTTTCCTTTTGCTTTTATAAGCAATTTAGAGCACCCATACGTACTTTTGAAAGAGAAGAAGATCTGTTAAAAAGTACATCCAAAAACTGTTGTTCTCATTATTTCTTTCCTTGACGTAAAAATCTCAACTATACGGATAAAATTCTACTCACACAAAGCAAGACGAAGTGATTCTTCATCCTTAATATTTATGGAGTATTTATTTACTCCTCCGTCCTTTAAAACTTTAGTTATCTCTCCTCTGCACAAACCTCAACCACACAGTTTTTACTTTATTAATCCCTGTGACAGTCAAATTTGGCAAAGTTTTAAGGGACGGAGGGAGTATTAGTTATACCATGTGTAAAAGCTCTTGGACGATAAAGTAAAGATAAATGTAGTCAGTCAAGGGTAGTTTAATTAAGATTAAGAATGGATAATAGTGTTACTTTTGCCTAATGCAATGGAGTGCCGAAGTAGGCACGGAGTCAATCATACAGCCATAGAGGGCTTATGCCCACTATCTTTCCTTTAGTGCAAAATTTCATTTCCCCTCTCCTTTGCTTTGCTTTTTCCAAAAGTTTCAAAATATTCTCTACGATTATTCTTCTTCCAATAATATTTGAGGCTCCTTAGAATTTGACATTGTAATTTAAAATTGTAGAATAAATAATCAATAAATTGATCTGCGTAGAAAAGCAGTTTTTTTCAAACAATTACGATGAATATAATAAAAAAAGTAAGGGAAAATAGCCCCAAATAGGACCAAATTGTTGTTGAAATTCCCAAATAGGAGTAAGTACTCCCTCCGTCCCGCTAACAATGAGAGAAGAGGGAGTGACACACAAATTAATAAAAAGTGGTTTATGTGGTTGCTATTGAATTTGATAAAGTAGGAATAAAGTAAGAATGATTTAAACGCACACAAACCTTACCAAATTTGATATGAGACAATCTTAGTGGGACGGTCTGATAAGGTAAAATGGGACAATCATAGCGGGATGAAGGTAGTATAATTTTATTCTCAAAATAGGATCATTCTTCCAATTTTGCCCCTCCAATTCATTTCAACCCATCGAACAGCGGCAGCGAGGGCTGGAGAGCAGCGACATTGAGCATCAAGTCTCTCTTCCTTGGGCTGGAGAGCAGCGACATTGAGCATCAAGTCTCTCTTCCTTGCACTCCTCTGATTTTCAATTTAATTCATTTGAATCTGGTGCGGTTTCTGTGGTGTCAAGCCCAGAATTTGTTTCTGGGTTTCATTTGAATCTGCGGTTTCATTTGAATCTGGTGCGGTTTCTGTGGTTCAATTTGTTTCTGCGATTTCATTTGAATCTGGTGCGGTTTCTGTGGTGTCAAGCCCAGAATCTGGTGCGGTTTCTGTGGTGTCAATTGAATTAATTCAATTTAATTCATTGGTCTCTCTTCTTTGCATACATGTTGTGTGTTTGCGTTTTCTTTTGTTTTATACGAATTTGTTTGAGCTTTTATGGTAGTTTGTTCTTCTTCTTCTTCCTTATGTTTCAATTTTGAAATTGCTGTGCTTGTCAATAATGGTGAAATAAAAATGGCATGGTTTACTTCTTGTTACGATTGCCATTTTTTTGAAAATGTCATAAAAACGACTTTTTTAATCTTTAAAAATTTCATATTTTTCTTTGAAAATGCCATTAAGATGGCATTCTCAATTCATGTTGGCATTTTCATAAAAAGGTTGGCATCAGTGGTGGCGTCACTTAGATCTTCCGTAACGGTGGCCGGATCTTTGGTGGAGCCTGCCAGATCTGAAGTGACGGCGGTTGGATCTGCAGGGGTGGCAGTCGACGGCAGGTGGAGGCCAACTGGCCCAGTCTAGGAAGGCGGCGACCAGATCTACAGTGGCGATGATCATATCGGCAGCTAGTTTTGAGGCTGCGGCGGCGGCGGCCAGAGGTGGCATGTCCGGCAGTCTGTCGCCGGCAATCTATTTTGTCAAGCTTCGGAGTATTTTTGTCAATCTACAAATAATAACTCATATTTGAGAAAATTTAAACTTTAGTCCTAGGCAATTAAGAATTTAATTACTCTCATTTAGGTAAATCTCCCTAAAAACAATAAAAAAAAATGTAAAAAACACTAATCAGAAATATGAGTAATATTTTTTTGCAACAACATTTTAAATTATCTATGAAGCTAAATCGAATCATAAGCGCCAAACAAAAATACCGGTGGAATTGCTTTGATAGAAAAAAAAAGAAAACAAATAATAATAAGAAAACGTAAGATTGGACTTGCTAATCTGGCCATATTGACTGAAGTTAGATTATTTTAACTATTCTTCATATATTCTTTTCTTTATTTTATTAATAAAAAATATTGTAAATATAATTTTTTCATAAATGAGAGGAATCAAACAATCTAGTCAATTATACAATAAAATCATAAATTTGAGCAAAATCACGTGATTCTTATTAAAGGAACTAACATACCAGGATCTTACAAACGAAAACCAAACAGACCCTTGCCCTCCACCAACTTCTTCCCATTTTATATACTTTCCTCTCTACTGGCCAATAATAGCCAAATAACCAACCCTACAGGGATATAACCTCCTTCTCCATCTCTCCCCAACAACGTTTGTCAGTCTTGCTTCAAGATCCTTCTCGGTAAGTTCATCTGACCAATCTGCTTCTTTTATACGGAGTATAAGTTAAATATCTTTTCTATGCGATTGATGCTGATTCTGGATCTTTATCCGATTTTACCAGAAAACCGTTTGTGTTTCTTGGGTAAGCTATCCAATTGATGAATTTTACACCGTTTAAAAGCTAATTGAAGCACACCCTTGGCACCTATTTAGAACACGTATTGCTGAAAATTGTTGATATTATGAAGCTATGCTTGGAAGTTCATTTATGCTTTTTCTTGTTTGTGATTCTAACCTTTTATAGTGTCTGCAAAAAATGAGTGCTCTGGTTAATTATTTTTCTGAATTTCTTGAAAGCCCAACTAATATGATGCTGATGAGAAAAAGTTAAGAACACGTTTGGTTGTTCCCTAGGAAAGCATTTTCCCAGTCAAACTCTATTTTTTTTAAAAATATCTCCTAAGGGGAAAGTCACACTTGAGTTTCGAGCTTAACGAAATGTACACTTAGCTTGATAAGTTTGAACAATTAGTGGGGCATTTAATTTAAACAATTATTAAGTTGGAGCTACTATAGAACTGTTCTCTTTGACTGATAAGTTTGATCTGAATTTTTAAATATATGGTATTTTGCTAGACCAAGTTTCTCTGAATCTTTCTAGTATGGTGTGATTTGGTATATTCTCTCTTTCTTAGTTGGTTTGATCTAATCTAATTGTTTTCGACAGTGTCTAATTTCATGTACTAATTAGCATTATCTTAAATGATTTAAATCTTCTCGGTCTGGTTTGAATATTTTTGATTGTTTTTTATAGGACAAATCACCCCTTATATAGGAGGTTCTGTCCAGCCGTCGCCAATTGGGACGGTTCTCGATTTAATTTTTAGCTAAAATTTGGTATGATTAAACTAGACTTAATGAAGAAGATGTTCAAAAAATTTCCATCAAAAAATTCCACCGGGAACCGTCCCAAATGTCGACGGTCGGTCAGAGCCTCCTATATAAGGATTTTTTGCACTTTTTAAGTTAGTTCGAGGGCCTATTTGACCCCTTTCCCTTTTTTATACAACAGAAGGAATGAATATTTTTGATTTGTTTTGACCTCATCTCAGTGTTTTTTATCCTGCCTACTATGAATAATAACATATGGTCTGGTTTAAATATTTTTGTTCTAGTATGGTCTTGCCTCAATTTTTTTGGTATGATATGATCTATATGCTTCTTCTTATTTGGTTGGATTAAAATACATAAATAACAAAAAGGCGAAGCTAACACTACCTACTTTATAATTACCCAAAATTTGAAACTTCAATATTAATTTTTGCCCCATTCTTTTATGTGAGTCTTGATAATTTCATTGCCAAGTTCTGTAAACACTAATACATCTGTTCTTTTTTGTAAATTTTCCAGGAAAAGCTTAGATTGGCATAATTAAGAAGGGGTTAAAGAACTGTGTATGGTGTTCATTCACTAAAAAAACATGTGGTGGCTGCGCCTCCCAATTCATGTGTTTTACTACGTTATCTCCTTGAACTTGTATTGCAGGGTCATTTTGTAAAAAACTCTCATTGATTCCTTGAAATTACCTTAAACAGAAAGTCTTCTTACTAATTATCCAATCAATCATCCATGGATGCCCATCTCCTTTGCTTCTCTGCTTGTTACATATATATTATGATTAGCTAAAAGTGCATACCTTCTGAATCCAATTTCAGTTTTTAGCTATTCCCAGCTTAGGTTCAAATATCCATACCCACATATTCTCCTTTTTGCTTCAAATAAACACCACGGTTGGATCCGTTTTCAAGTTGATCCCAAGATATAAGAAGTTATGGTGTGCCAATCGGCAAGTCAGACAAAATTCAAGGCTTTAAAACATGAGAGTGGGATTCCTGGACGAGCAACCATTATAGTTAGAGTTATCGCATGCTTTCAACCATTGCAGAATTGCCAGGTTTGTTTAAATCTAAACTAATTGATTCATTTTCTTGCTATTTTCTGGGTAATTAATCCTTTTTCCGCTTTCTTCTTCTTACCAGGCTGAATACTTCCGCCAACTGCTTAAACCCGTCACGTAGATTATCTTCGCACTTCCATTCTTGATCTAAGTTCAAAGTTACATTGTTTTTCTCGTTTTCTTTTTTTCTTTAGTTCCTGGAAACCATTGGTACCAGCACCACAAACATCAGATTACACACGGTATGCTGGGGAATACTCTTGGTCTTGTATTACATTTTCTTGATTACTACTAAAGTCATTTTTTTTCTTTGGGTAGTATTAGTTATTAGTGGTTGGTTATTACTAATTAAATATGCATCATACAAAAATGATATCAATGGAGTGGCCTTGGTAACTACGTTTATTGGTCATTTCTAGTTGACTAATGGTAGCTGTATTTGTAATGTTTTTGTCCATAATTTTAAAACCAACACAATCCAGCGTAAAAACAAGTCATTTTCCCTGAATCCAAGTACAAGTACTTTCCTTTTTCTTTTCTAAATAAAATTAAAGTAGGGCATCCTAAAAATCATATTTCCTGCATTATCAAGAATAAAAAATGATCTTAGCGTGATTTCAAGATATCAAGGGAACACCTTATTTTTAATCCTACTTAGAGCAATTTCTTTATATGGATTTCTTGACCTGATTAAAATGTAATATTTTCTTTTGAAATTTGTGGCCTGCCTGAAAGTCTCAATACTAAATGAACAGGTTTTACACCTGACCAAATGGGTACGGGCAGCAAACTTCGACCACCTCTCGGGCAGTATCCTCCTGCATGGAATCCAAACCATGTTTCTGCCCTTTTACAACTCGGGCAGCAGGTCAATCTGGCATCTTTTCCAGATCCTTCTAAATTTACTGCAAACCCAGTTTCTCCTAAGCTAGAAACAGCCCACCAAGTCATGCCATCAGGTGGTTCCTGTCAGAAAAGAATTCTGATTTTTGACCAGTCTGGTGATCAGACCAGATTGTTCATCGGTCCATCTTTTTACCAGAGCGAGCTTCTTCTATCCAAGAAAAAAACATTTGGCGGTTATGAAACTTATAATGATCATACCCAACCCATTGTTGAAGCACAACCGAATAACTCTTCTCCCCAGAGTAGCTGTAAAGAAAGTGAGATGCATGAAGACTCTGAAGATATCAATGCTTTACTCTACTCTGATGACAGCTATGCTAATGATGATGATGATGATGTAACTAGCACGGGTCACTCTCCGTTTATGGAAATTGCACATGAAGAAGAAATGGCCAGTTCTGACGATGGCCCTTTGTCAAAAAGGCAAAGATTGTATGATGACTGTGGGGACAAGAAGTCTTTTACTGACACTGTAAACTCAGGGAATTCACCTTTAACCTGCAGTAATCAAGAAAAAGAGGGGTCAAGCTGTGTGAAGGGCAGCCCAAATGAAAGTGATAGGGAAAAAAGACTGAAAATCCGCAAGAAGTTGAAAATGCTCCGAGGTTTGATCATGGGCTTGAACAGTGATGACCCATTGGTGGTTATAGACGAGGCAATAAGTTACCTGAATCTTTTGAGGGTAAAAGTGAAAGAGGAGATGAGAGGTGAAAATGGTGTTTGACTGAAAGCATGATTGTTTTCATGCTTTTGAAGGGATTAATTAAAGGTACGTTGGATTGCACGTTTAATGGTAGCAGCTTGTAGTGATTGAATGCATGCGTGTATGGGACCCACTCTCCACCCCCTATACATGGTTCATCTCCTTTTGATGAAGGGATAGATAGCGCATGGAGATAAATGGGGGGCCTGTCTGGAAAGATGAAAAGGGAAGGCCATTGATCAAATCTTGTCTTCAAGTTTGGTGTTTTTTCTTTTTTCTTTTTATATGTATGGGTTTCAGTTGGCGTGTTCTTTGTTTTCATGAGAGTTGACTGATGATGGGACCCTTTTCTGTCTTGGGGTTGCTATGATTTTAAGGTGTGATGTATTTGCAATAAATGAATTATTATAATGCTAACAAGTCTGATCAGAAATAATCACCTTCTAAAAAGTGGTGCATGATCTTTTTAAGTGTAGGATGGCAAAAAGTTCACGTCGCTTGCCAAGACTTTAAAAAGTTCAAGTCACTTTAGTGTATGTAATGTGATGCTTTTTTATAAGATCGTTTTCTTCAAGTGAAAACTGAGATTTTTTTTTTTGCATGTAATTAAAAATATAACGCAACTTAATCAAATAGTGCAATATGAACTTAAACACAACGTAATTGCATTATATTACTCCCATCTCTTAAAACTTTGTCAAGTTTGATCGACATGATGATTAATAAAGTAAAAATTGTGTGGTTGATGTTTGTGCAGAGGAGAAAGAATTAATTGGAACCACAAATTCTTTAATTAAAAGGGAGGTATTCACTGTCGACCTTTGCAGGTAACGTCTAAGAGTCTGTCTATTTGACAGTCTTTATTTTTAGGTTACCAGTCAACTTTACTTTCAAAAAAAGGTTACCCCAATCAACTTTCTATCAAATAAGGAGTATATTGGATTTTGTATGTTGAATTGTTTAGTAATTAAAATAGGTAAGGTGCAAGTTATTTCATTCTGTATTGAATAAACTACTATACAAGATTATTTTAGCTAGTTTTTTGTTTCACTAATAAAATATACTTTAAAACTTGACTGCTTCAATTAGCATTTCATAAATTTCATTAGATTTTTTAGATTCAATTCATTTCAGGGTCACAAAACCGGCTAAAATATCATATTTTACTTAACAAAATAATGAGTATAAGAATTGTAATTTGAGAAAAGGAATTGAAGTAAGGTTCATCATATATTGTGAATGCCTAGAGAATGATTCTTCATTTGTTTTATATAATCATACCTAAAAATCTAAAATACACAAAAAAACCTCAAATATTTGAGGGTAAATGTTCTGATTTTACATGACTACTACATAGTATCATACTATGTATAAAGACCCAGAATAACTTTATAATCAAGTCTCTTTTTAATCTATTATTTTGTTTGTACACCGAGGGTCATCTTTTCATGAGAATCTATTCTTCCAAAAGCAAACAAACAAATGAATCAACTATACAAAGCTCAAAACAATTCACCAACAATTTAGTGGAATAAATACAAATATTTAATATAAAGGTATCACAGTCAAATTAATAAGGAAGTGTAATGTAAATTAATTATGTTTAATTTTTTTAAGTGGCAAAATTTTAAAATAGTCCACATATTTTAAATCCATATAGACTTCTGTAAAGGAATTTTGGTGACTTATTAATGATATTTATTGAACAAATTTATGGAAAATAGAGATTTACTTAAGAATTATGTTACCTAGCATTCATAAGTCTAACATGATTCAAGAGATCAAATAATACGAGTATATGATTAGATAAAATGATAAGTAACAAAAAGATCAATTACATGATTAAAAAATCATAAGCGAAACAAATTTAATTCATCTAAAAATTAGGAGTTCTACCGGGTCAGAGCATTGAAATGTATTCTTTATTAGAAAGCTCAAAATTAGGAGAATGACCCAACTCAATCTTGTTATAGGTCCATTGTTGTACTATGCTTGTTAATGATTAAGAAGGACAATAGTTAGCTTTGTAGATTTTATGTATTTGGGGAACATGAGAGGTATAAGCTTGTCACGATTTGGCTAGATGGTTCTAGTCCAGTACTGTTCACGAATCGTCAAAGTCCATTTATTTATAAAAACATAACATTAAACTGATTAGTCCCGTGTTCATGAATGTATATGTACATAATACATACATTAATTGTTTTTATTACAAGCACTACGAGGGCCGGTTCTGAGGGGGCAACATGGGCGACCGCTCTAGGCCCGAAAAAAAACATAAGAAAAAATATGTCCATTTTTTTCTTTATATATAGTGTAAGTAGGCTTGTTTTTTTTTATTTTGAAGTTCAATTAACTAGGCCTAATGTTTAATTTTGTTGACAATTTGAAAATTTAAAACATAAATAAAAAATTTTAAACAGAGTCAAGTTTAAAAAATAATATATACATTAATTTTAAGTAGAATTGATTGTGATTTTTAAAAGCATTACAATTATTGCTGCATCAATAAAAGACACACATCTTCAGTATTCACATCTTTTTAGCCTTTGAAGCTTTTTTATTCATTTTAGTTATAACATAACAAATTCACATGATTATTTTAGAGCTTGCGGCTCTCAAATCTCATCCCATTTATATATTTGTTTCCAAATTTCAATAAACTATATCTAAATTCTTAATAGTAGTTTTAGGCTACGTTTGGCATGCCACTTCAGTCCATAATGAACTGGAATTTTTAAAGTTCAGCTAGTAAATATAAAATTAGGATTGTTTGGCAGGAGGGCTGAAGTTAGCTGAAGCTGAGATATATGAACTTATTGAAGACGTTAGTCCCTCTAACGTTTGGCTTCAGCCGATCAGAAAATACCTAAATTATCCCTTTTGGGTTCGCTGAATACCCTTCTATTTGGCCCGACAAATCATAATCTATGGTCGTGCTCTTCTCTTTCTTTTTCAAATCGCCGTGGAGAATCATACTCTACTGCTCTGCTCTGCTCATCTTCATCAGCAAAATATATATTGATGGCACATTCTTCCTCTCCTTTATAAAAATTAATAGTAACCCCACTCATCAATTGTGGAAGTAATATACGTAGTACGTAGTAATATGGATTTGACTGTTTGAGTAAATTGTTTTGGAATAGAGAGTGTAATTTTTCATTTGGAAATGGTGATCTCAGATTCTCAGTGGCGGGAGTTGGGTCATGTTGGTATTTTGACCGGTTATCTTAATATTTATTAAAATATCACGTAGTAAAATTTATTATAAAAAATATTTTGTTTTACTATAATAAATGTCCATTAATGTAATTTTATATTTTCCAGTCTCATTTTCAGTTCTTTTGCCAAACGGGTGTACTCCATTTAGTTAGTAAATCAGATTCAGCACTTTAAAGTTCAGTTTCAGACAATAGTCTCCGATTCAGACAATAGTCTCTATTTCAGACTTTAGCCTCCAGTTTCAGCTTGTTCTGCCAAACATAGCCTTAGAGGACGTCAAATTGGCCGTCTTCTTGTGCGAGCCTTCTCGGCGGCGAAACATTTTGTCTCGTTGAAAACCTTCAATTCATTCTTTCTAGACTAAACTTTAGGCTCTCATCAACAATCAATAAATGATTCTCAACTTATGAATTCAATATGTAATATTTCTTTTCATTTATCATTTCAGTTGTAATCGAAAGAAAGTTTAGTGTTGTTATATGTGACAATATTATTGTTTGTCATATTTATTAGTGGAAAGAAGGTTACTTATGAAGCGATTATTGATGATTTGATTCACATTGTTTAACATGAAACTTTTTTAAGTAATGTTTTTTTCTTTTTATTTCATACTCGTGTTGTGACTTTGACCAAATATGTAACCTAAATAATAATAAAGTGATTCTCGCCTTTATTTTATGAACTTCATTGAATAATTTTATTATAGTTTATATTTCAAATAAGCAAATGATTTAAGGTTTGTCTTGGAAATAAACCCAAAATAGCATATTGTTCATAGGCTCTGAAATGAACAAGACCGACCGTGAGCACTACCATAGAATTCAAGAAAAATGTACGTAGGTATCTTTTTAGAATAATAAAGTTTACACTTTCGTAAACGTTGTTGGGATTGGAAAATTCATGTATTCAATATCAAGAACAGAATTACAATAGAAGGAGCAAACTCTCACACTCAACTATTACAAAAAAACAAATCCTCACCAATACGATTCCAACAAACGTTACATAAATATTCTCTTTCTTTACAGTGAGACAAGAATCATAGCAAACATAATTCTTTATTATTTGTAGAATATTTGAAAGTCAATCAGTAAAAATATATATTCGATCTTCTTCTCAACTTTCGCTCTCTCCAATCGTGATTGCCCATGTTATTAATTTTTTAAAATTAGTTACAAGTTGCCCACCATGTTATGTACGTCTTCCACGTTTTTTGTCTTCATAAAATGATACAAAGTAAACAGAAAAATCATATTTTTCTTTATTTAAGTTTAATCTTGTACATCTGCATTGATGTTAAGTTTCTTTGTTAAGATTTTTATTAATTATAAAATAATTAAAATATGAGTTTTTGATTTGCAAACTTCTACAGGTTTTCTTGACGTGTTCTAAACTAGTTCTGGATAGCTAGATGAATTCGATTCAAGAACTAATACAGTTATACTTAGTATTATAAAGCCTCTATAACAGTTTCTATTTTCTATATTCACACTAAATATTGTGAAAATTTAGTAAATATTACATTACACACGATCACACTCTTGGATTGATAGTTGATTTAATTTTAAAAAATCTTGGATTGATAAAATTTCTTAATCACTTTATTATTAACCTTCATCTTTCCAAACATTAAGAACATCTTTAATGAGGATATGGATTGTATCCTATATAAAATGGACATGTCATTGATGTCCACGGTCTATGGAGCTGAGGGGATCCACAAACATCTAAAATAAAATCTCCGCTTCAATGCAACCAATTAGTCAGAAGTATGATTCTTTCATTTTACAAGTTCTTTATTGTACGTATTTAACATTATGACATTTGAATTGTAATATTCAATTGGCAATGTAAGCTATATTAGTATACGATAGTATATTGTTTCTTCATTTTATTAATAAAAATCATTTGAACATTTTTTCATAACTTAACAGATTCAACAAATTCAAACGTTTTTGTCAGAATTTTACCATTTTGAATAACGATAGGCCAGTTAACAAATATTAGTCTTACTAAATTGGCTCTTAAACTTCATCACAATATGAACTTCATCTAAGTGTTACTAAAATATTACTGAAATAAAATTTATAGAAAGAAATCTACTTAAGTTATAACAAATATACTTTTATAGTCATTAAGATATAAACATTAAACATCATTATAGTCACTTATAGTTACTAAGTTATACTCCGTACTTAAATGTACTATCCTTAT